TGCATCAAAGCACAAGTCTGCTGCAAATTCTGCTGGAAAGGCTCTAATATATTACTCAGAAGATCACAATTAGTGATTTTTAGAAATGTTGAACTTTGTTACAGTATGTATGAGAAAGACTTTCGTTCAGTTAGCCGAACTAATGAAGAAAGAGAAGGAGAAAAGCTCTGAAGAAGGATCGGAAACCCTGAAACCGCTACCTTCAGTGGAAGAAGTTGTGCTCCAGAAGCATAATTCAGAAGCAATGAACGTCGATCACGATTTAGATGAGATTGACGATGAAATGCAGTCATGAGTGGCACTATACCCTCGGTGATTTGTCGGAGTTTTTGATAGCAGTTACTACCTGTTGATTGTTTTTCACGAAGAAAAGTAATAATTGGTGTTTTCATAATAATTGCTCTAACAAGTGTTTGTTTTCAGTTCTGTTCGAAACCTCACTACTTCTTTTACTGGTAGATTTTATTTTTGTACATGATTTCTTCACATTGTTCACTTGGTTGTCAGTATTTGATATGAAGCAGTTTCTTTTTTTTCTTTCAATGGTATTCTGTAACATTAGCGGGATTGTTGCTGTCCACACAGGGGACATTCTTCGGCGTAGTTCGGCGACGGGGGGGGGGGCATTTTGCACTTTCGCTGCTCACTAGTTGCGGTTTACAAGTCTCACTCTGGTGAAACCTGTGAACTCTTGTGAAGCTGGAGCAAGCCTATCAAGCCATCATGGTAAACCTGTCAAATCGAGAAAAGATGTCTAAATGGGTTGATGGGAAAGTAGCGGAAGTGGGTTTGGGGCCGTCGCTAGGCTACCCCCGTTTTTCAAAGTAGCCCTTTTTAGAAAATGGAATACGACTCCCACCCTTGGCGAGAGATCTTGAACGATGACGTGCCCTCATTGTATAGTCTGGTTCGCTGCGGAGGGAGGGGCGTGTCGGTCGGTTGCGTTTTTCTTTCTCGGTTGGCAGCGGCACGCAATACTGCATGTTTTTACGCATTGCACACACGTGCAAACGGACAATGGTGGTGGGAAAACGGCTGGGTGCGAACGATATTCGTCGCTTGCTCGCGTCGGCCAGCAAAGTGGGTGAAGAAAGCGAGTTTTGGCGGTGCCAAAAATGGCAGCCCGCACTGATCACGGCCTCTGTTTCATCCGCCGGTGGACCAGGATTGCAGCAACGGAACAGCGCAAATGTTGAAGAATTGGGCGAAACAGGGAACAGAATACGTATACGAATCGGAGAGGTATTCGGATAAGAAAAAGGGTAAATGCAGCGCAGTTTCAGCTATGATGAGAAGATTTTCGGCTTGGTAGCTCGATTCGACTCTGCCTCCGTGGAAACAGGCTTTGACGTCTTGTGGTCCCAAAGGCGCGGGGTCGAATTTGGTGGCTGGATGGAGGGGTGGAGTCGTATTTTGATTTGGTAATGTTCTTCACTTGTTAGTTTTTGTTTTCATCGGGCGTTATTTGCATGCGTTAGGAGAAGTCTAGTAGGAAGGGGAGGGGGTGAGGGGTCATACTTCCCTCGTTATCAGGGAGAGGAGGAGGCGTCTGCCTCTGAGAGAATTCTGCGCGCGTCACGTGGGAGAAAAGAATTGCCGAGTCTGTTGACGTGCACCTTTCTTCTCCTTACCAGTGGGTCGCTATGTTCTCCCCGGCCAACGGTGAGTCTTTTTGGAATATTTTCTAAAAATTGGTGGGACAGGTTGGAAAAGTTGGAGCAGAGGATGCGGAGTGGGGGGGGGGATGGGGTCGTAGCAGAAGGACAAAATTGCGTGACAGAAAGTCCGTATTTTCTATAAAACTGTCCCATAGCGGCATGGAACGTGCCTCTTTCCTGTGAGGGAGCCGTTGTAAGTTGGTAAGCAAGCACATGCTTAGTTGGGCGATTTTGGTCAAGCCGTACGACCCCCTAGGAGGTTGCTTGATGCGACCCCCTCCCCACCCTAGTTCCATCCTCCGATACGATCGAGCTGTCGAAAGGTGGGGTGGTATACAGCGCATAGGAAAAGAGACAGGAAAAAAATTTCCCAACAAAACGCTCCGGACAAATTTTGTCTCAGAAGGCAAATACGACGCAGCTCTCTCCCGAACACGAGCAATTACGACTTTCCACCGCTCAATAATCCCGAGAAACTGGAAAAATCAACTATCTGAAAAATTTTCTCAGACCAAGTATGACCCCCCCCCCTCCCTCAGCGACCAAATACCAACCCCCTCCCCCGCTGAGGATTCCTCAACAAGTGTGCCCTGTCTGTGAACTATGCACTAGTGTGAGCTCCGTTTATACTTGACAACAGTCTAAAGGTGTCCCCCTGGGTGGACAGCGTTGAGGTTTCTGGCAAGGGATAATTAGGAATCGATTGGGTGGATTTCGTTGCGGCAGCACTTCAAAAAATCTGTGACTCTTCGATTCCTCTAGTTGGTAGATCTTTACTACTCTAGTCTAGACTGTATGAAGTCACAGCCTGTAAACAAGATCGCGGGGAGCGTCTAGGATAAAATTGGCGACAAATTGAGCTGTCTTAGATTACAGCCAATTTCGGATTGTATGAGAAGGAGCCAGCCAGCAATCTGTATTCAGTGCCTTGCCGAGTGCTCTATTACACTGCTGCTCGCTTGTGAATGTCTGACGACTCTTCTGCGTCTGCCGAATGGAAAAAGGTTTGTCGTGCAGGGCTATGCTCGAATTACTTCCTTTATCAACAGCGTTACAAGTATGAGAGCTCATAGGTAATGTATCACAAAAGACGGTGGGAACAGTGCATATCTTCGTTGCCCCCCCCCGACAGTTCGTGTTTGATCTGAGAAAATTTTACGGACGCTGTAGGAGGGAGGTCATATTTGCTAGTTTTTGGGAGGGGAAGGGGGAGTCGCATT